TCTGTTTCTGCTGGTGACTGTGCGACGATTTTATGATGAAAAACAGTTTAACTGTCTTGTTTCTGAAATGTGCTACACATAATATGACTGACCGACCCATCGACCCACCCAGGAGGCCCCACTGAGCAGACATCAACTGGACCTGTCTGTGTGACCAGGTGCTGACCCGGATCAGGGTTCTGGTTCTGACCTGGAAGGTGGCGGCCGGCAGGTTGGAGATGGCGACGTACTGCAGGTTGTTCTGTAGCGTATAGATGAGCGACGGCACGGCGAGCTTCAGCGTGTCCTGGTACTGCAGGATGACAGAGTCCAGCAGGAACCACAGCGTCTCCTTCAGGGCGCCTGCAGAGACGCAGCGTCACACACAGTGGCTACTTAGCCCCGCCCACCACTACTTACATCTCTTCTGCAGCAAAACGATGAGCAGGCACGTCGCCACCTTCAGGACCTCCGCCATAACGACGGCTGATGTGGTGAAGAAGCGGTCGCCCGGCAACGTGCGGACGTAGCGGATGCTGAGGATGAGCGAGGCATTCTGGACCACCAGGACAGCCAGGCTGATGTACTTCAACTTTCTGTTGGCTGCAGGGGAGAGACGGACACAAAGAGGAGCTTTCATCCTTCCACTCAACTCTCAGAACCAGAACTCTGATCCTGGTTCTGGTCGACCCACTACTTTCATCTGCTTCATTATCTGGACTCAACCAGCTACTACTGCCTCTTCCTCATCATGCTGATCTGCAGCCACCTGCAGAGCAACAGAGCCACCCCACCCCCTCCAGACACACCTGAGTCAGAGCTCCACTTCACGAAAACTGCTGATTCCACCTTAAGCTCCACATGTTTAAGGTGGAATAGGCCTACCAGGCCTCCATAGAACCTGTCAAAACCCTCTCCTGCAGTTCTGGACCAGGTAGAATAAGAATCCAGTACAAATCAAACAGAAGTGATTATCCATAATGAATCAAATTTTTCTGCAGCACTCCATGTTTATTTTTTTAGATTTAACCATAGAAACTATTTTCTTCAATAAACACTAGAATATTTAGCTGTACGGTTTGTATTAATTAGTCGGCATAGCAACTGATTATTCGGCTCGGTTTAAACCAGTAAACTACTTTATTAAGTCGGTCCAAACTGGTTAGTTTAGTTGCAGGTAGCTGATTCTTGCTACTAGACAAACCAGTTTAACTACTGGGAATATTTCGAAATCATCCAGTTTTTAATCCGGATTATTTTTTACCTTCACTCTGACTCCGGGTCGGAACCTCCCCGGCCTTACTGCTGCTGCCACCCGACATGCTGCGCTCTCTCCCTCGTCGGGACCGAACTCTCACCCGCTGCCTGCACAGCTAACTCCGCTAGCCTCCCGGCTAGGCTCCGCTGTCGGTTGGGGACCAGTCGGCGCTCCGAGTCTCCGGCTGGTTCTGGTTCTGGTTCTGGAAGCGGGAGGCAGAGGCGGGCGAGTCGGCTCGAAATGACCGGAGCTGAGGAGCGGGACCGAGGAGGACTAGCAGACGGAGTATGGGGGAGCATCAGGCGGAGAACCAGGGCTGCGTGGAGGAGCTGATCTGTCCCGGAAGTCACTCGGACTACAGCTGCGGAGAGTAGACTGAGTGACAGGATGTTTCACTCTGTAGGAGGCGGAGAAAGACAGACAGACAGACAGAAACAACAAGAAACCAACAAAACAAAGAAAGAAAAAAGAAAGAAAGAAAGAAAGAAAGAAAGAAAGGAAGTCCATGATTCTGAATCTGTATCTTATTTGTTACTATTTAATTAAATTCGCCAATTTACAAGCGTTGTCTCAAGACACTTTGCAAAAAGAAAAAAATTATTTCAATTCGCTCAGAAATTTCCTAATTGGTCCTAGTTATCAAACAGTTAATTATTCAGAGCAGCTTAGGAAATTCTAAGGAAACCCATCGAAAGATTGAGTCATTGAATGCAGCATCACTCCTCCTGACCAGCAGGGGGCGAAAGTGGAGAGGAAAAACTCCTCCTTAACAGTAAGAAACCTCCAGCAGAACCAGAACCAGGATCAGTACCAGGACCAGGACCAGGACAAGGACCCAGATCAGTACCAGCGGCCATCTGTCACGACAGACTGGAGGTTAGAACGAGAGGGTTATTTTTCTGCCATAATTCCAGACCACACAGTTTCAATCAGTTTCAGTCTGAAAGCAGAACTTCATGTCTTTCTTCTCAAAACTTGTAATGCTTGTACTCAAAACTTCTCCTCAGACTCAGGCCTGGTCCAGCGTTCAGCGCCCTTCGTCTCCGGGAAGCATAGGCTCAAAGTCCCGTCAGGGTTCAGGGGTCAGGGGTCAAGGGCAGAATGGCCCTGGGTCCTAGCTTCACATCCAAAATGGAGGACTGGTCACCGTTTAGGCATTCTGCTGCTAACAGAACTACAACAAAGCAGATTATTTTAAATGTTCAGTAAAGGTTTTTCTGCTTTCGTAAGTCATTATTGGAAATATTTGTTGGAGATTTGTGTTTTGTTGTGACTTGTTGGATACAGAAAATTCAATATAATCTCACATGTTCAGCGAAACAAAAATTATTTCAATACTTTACTTTTTAAAACTGATTTTATTCTTTTTTTTTTGCAACAGATGAACTTTGCCATATTTCCAAGATTGCAAAATAATACACATTAAAATGTTCTAATCAGTTTATCAGTCTATTTGACTAATAGAGACAGGATATTTTAACCATCTGTTTTATGCAGCTAAAAGTTAGTTTGGTATAAAATGAAGCTAACAAAGATCAAGTGAAGGACAAACATACGGCATATATGAAAAATAAAAAATGTCTGATGCTACATTTGAAAAATAAAAGACTAATGGAACTAAAATGTCCTTTTTAAAATAAACTATGAATGTTGTGACTTTATGAACTAAACATGTTATAATAATTCATCAGTTTTCTGATGTCAGTAGTCTGAGAAGAAAACATTTGTTTAAAAATCATGACAACCCAGATAGCACAGAATGATTGAAACAACATTGAATCAATGTCAGCCAGAAACATTGAAACAACATTGAAAGTGGTCGGTCACTTGCATGTTGAATTGTTAGGGTTTCAACCATAACTGACATATCAATGTTGATTCAACCATCATCTATATGTCAACTTACATGCATATTTGTGTTGATATTACATTGAATCAGTTAGGAATCAACATTGATTCAACCATCATCTGAACGTGAATCTACATGCAGATTTGGGTTGATTTTATATTGAATGAAGGTTAAAAATGACAACATGGGTTTGCTATAACATTTTATTTAAGAAAAGAGGGACAGATCTTTAAACATATTTGACTCCTTTTTGACTGTCAAAACAACAGT